AGGCTCCAAAGAGGCTCAGGGACGGTCAGTTGGTATCAAACGATTCGGTTGTGTTTTTGGAAGGCTATGAAGGTAATCTGCAACTGACATGTACCATGCACGCAATCCTTCCAGACGAAATGGGCTTACTTTACAAATTGTTAGCAGTGTCCATTTTGGGGCAGTGGAGATGATACTTCGTATTTATTTAAAAGGTATTTTTCAGACTGAAGATTGATTAACTGTCGACCATATACAGCTTTATTCGCTCTGTGTTCTTGCAACCATGCTTACCTAGTACATACCCCCTCCCTCAGGCGCACCCCCCCCCCCTTTCCCTTCTCACCCCCCCCCCCCCCCCCCCCCCCCACCGGATTTCCGGGTGTTATTGTTGCATTGATGCCCGGAAAATTCATTTGGAACCGGCGGCGTCAGCCGGAAGTTTCAAATGTTAACATTTCTGTCATCGAATACTCAGTCAATGTTTATCGACATGAAAAGTTTAAGAGTAATTTCCCGAAGGACTTCATCTGTACATGAACACTCACCGTCGTGACACAGACATGACCCTCTCTACAACAAGATGACGTCACGTAACAGTGAATGACCTCATACGCTTCGGCGAACCCCTAACCCGTCAGCTTAGGTGAAACAGTTATTTATAATGTTGAAAGGAAACAAGATAAAAAACAATATTCATTCTCAGTCAAAGGTAAGACGATTTCTCGGATTCAATCCCAATTTTACATAGTTTTTTCAACTAATCGGAACGGAAAATAACTAATATCGAATTGCGCATGCAAATAAATAGAACAAAATATAGAATATAAAAACTATAATGTTAAAATGTCAAAAAAGGATGGGACCGATTTTGTTTCGGTCCGCGACGGGGAAATAAGTAATGCTGTGACAGGTTTTATACAGACGGTGGGTGGTCTTACCACTGAGACCCTTCACTGAGCATACCCCGTATATATTCACTAGTGTCAGCCTGGCTGACTAAAACACGTCACTAAAAATAAGATGTCTCAGATCTTAGACCTAGGTAATTCGAAGACTATGTGAGAATTGAAGGGATAAAATTTCGTCCATGACAACGAGGGCATAAATTTAGGTTCACGCCATCGTGACTTGTTCAATGATACGTTTTATCCTCCAATGTGTGTGATGAGAATAAAAGTCGACTAAGCGGTCAAATGTCTTGCTCTCTTCTACCCCCGCACCCCCACACGTGGGTCTACCTTTCATAACGCACCTCATATTTTATATTTAATCAGCAAAGGCCAGAAATCCAGTCTTAAGGACTCCTCAGAGTTGAGTGGAATAAAACGAGGAACGAGCCCAATATTATGTGATAGGATTTGGAAAGACCATTCAATTGTCAGCGGGATTCCGTGTCCGTATTCTCCCGTCTAAGACGCGCAATCAATCAGGGAGAAGATCACTGCCCGAGACAAATATCATTTGAAGACTTCTTATCATTTTGCCGCAGGTTTAAACCCTTTCGAGGAGAAATCGGGCCGGCCGCCGTCCGTATTCCAATTAAGAAGCCAGGATTATTTCGGTTCGTTTCAGTAAGAGCCGATCCAATATTTCAAAGTGACATACGGGAACTTGATGACAAGGTTGCAAGATGGCGGATAAAGCCAAAATGGCGAAGGTCATACTAGCGTTACGCCCCGTACGTTCTTCTACGCTTGATTTATTGAAAATAAAGACACGATTTGGGATAATGATCGTTCCCAGACTGGCCATACGAGCTGGGTTGTTCTAGATAGGGCAATTTATTCCAGTGCGTTTCTTGACGTTTGAAGGACATATCTTAAAGAGCTAGACGTATCGCCTAACACCCATGATGAAGATATTCGGCGCCTTAATAGAATCGTTCAGCTTAATTAATCACAAATGTTACCACTTGGGGTTGTCACAGTTGTGAATAGACGGCAGACAGTACGTGCATAATATACGTCGTGTAGCGGAAACAAAAACACATGTAGATCTACGCCTAACGTATCGTTCACCTGCACTTTGATCAATGAAAGGGAACGATTTTGACGCTATATTTAATACATGACATGTGACATGTTACTGCAATGCTTGAGTAACGTTCTTGTTTCTGCTGCTATTATTGTTGGATGTTTTACCGCTACAGTTACTACTGTCACTACTGCTGCCACTACTACTATTTCTACTACTGCAACTCGTACTTCTGGTACTGCTACAGCTGCTACTGCTGCTATTGCAACGACGACTGCTACTGCTTCTATTTGTATTGCTACTGTTGCTACTATTGCTAATACTACTACTGCTACTATTGCTACTGCTCCTTTAGCTATTGCTACAGCTACTATTGCTACTGGTACTGCTACTTATGATACAACGGTAGCTACTACTATAATAATAGAAGCAACCACCACCACCACCACCACTACTACTACTACTACTACTACTACTCCGCCGTGATATTGCTGGAATATTGCTAAAAGCGGCGTAAAACCAAACTCACTCACTACTACTACTACTACTACTACTACTACTACTACTACCACTACTACTGCTGCTGCTAACTTTGTCGCCATTACTTGCCATAGATTTGTTATTTATATCACTTAGGTAACTAATTATTATCAAATTGTCATGGGCCTTTAAAATAGTAAAGGTCCTGTATTGAGCAATTTATGGTAAAAATGACCGTTCCAAAATTGACAAGAATCAATAGCGTGTAGCTGCGGAATCCTTGCGAAATCCCCCCGGAAATTCACAATTCCTATGAGCGGAATTTAAGAATTGAGATATCTGTCGTTCACCCAATCAGCGATCACTAATTCAATCATGACCGTACCAGCTGCTCTTAGATGTTCCCTGTGACAATTATTACACAGCGCGCTCACACGAACACAGATCAGTGCAAACATTCATTGAGACAGATGGGCACCAGGCTGACTTGTAACAATGTCATGAATCCAGTAAACTGATAGTAGGTATTGCCATTCCAACATATAAATTAAGGCAGTTTATATTTTACTTTCTGTTTGCAGAAATATATCGATCACATACCGGATTTTATTTATAATTGGCAACATACTCATAAATATTATGAAAAGCATATGCAATTGTGACAGGCGGTATCTCCATTTTGACCACCCGATTCCTATATTAGTATCTTCCATAGCATGTCGGCTTTCTGTCCAAAACCTCTAGCAGGCCGTCTGTTTTATTCAGCGTATTTACCAGCCCCCTTCGGTCCTAAACTAGCGTCCCACTTTTTGAAAATATAACAAATTGTATCCAACATTTCGTCCGCCTGAATATGTTACAAACCTAAACCTCCCTTTATCCCGGTTTATGTTTTTGTCCCTTCAAACTATTGGTGTTTAAAACAGTTGTGCACAGCGGTAATTGTCAATCTGAGCACGTCTCCCTGTGTCTGTCCTGTTAATTATAAGATCCCGCGTTCCCCAACCTGTCTCAGCTGTGTGTTATCAGTTTCACAAGGAAAACACCGCGCAATTTGTCGAGGAGTGTTTCCTGAATACTTTTTCCTGAGAAACACTAATGTTTTCCTGAAGATTTCTTTCCCGTGTTTCAAAGATCAGCTGTTTAGTTTTGGCAATTCTACCGCGGAAGTGATAGTTTGTTGTTTTTTTCTCGGAGTTTTTCCGTCTCGCCGACTGTTGACAGAGGAGAGAAACAATGTAGTAACGTGTGAGAAATGAGGGCAGTTTGACACTGTACACTGCGACCCCGAGACCCTGAGACCCAGGGAGACCCCGGTTAAAACAATCAGCCCTTTATACCTTGTTTAGGCGACGGGTTCGGTAACTAGGGTGATTGCTTGCGTCGCACTCCAAGGGCATTGGATGATGATGCTGTTAACCTCTGGTCTGCTTGGACCAGATTCGATTAGTTACAGGCGCCCGTGATATAGCTGGAACATTGCTAACTGCGGTGTGAAGCAACATACAATCAGTTCTAACTGAGTCAGTCAGTTCTAAGGAATTTCAATGTTTGTTTGTGGCCAGAGCTTTCTATGAGGTAATGGGAAACACTATCGGACATTCTGTGAGGTAACGGGAAGCTGTTTCGAGCTTTCTGTAAGTGAGTGAGTGAGTGAGTGAGTGAGTGAGTGAGTATGGTTTTACGCCGCTTTCAGTAATATTCCAGATATATCACTCACGACAGCCTTTAAATAATCGCATTCTATGAGGTCATGAGAAACAGTTTCGGGCATTCTATGAAGTCACTGGAAACAATTTCGGGCATTTTATGAGGTCATGGGAAACTATTTCGGGCATTTTATGAGGTCATGGGAAACAATTTCGGGCATTCTATGAGGTCATGGGAAACTATTTCGGGCATTTTATGAGGTCATGGGAAACTATTTCGGGCATTTTATGAGGTCATGGGAAACAATTTCGGGCATTCTATGAGGTCATGGGAAACTATTTCGGGCATTTTATGAGGTCATGGGAAACTATTTCGGGCATTTTATGAGGTCATGGGAAACTATTTCGGGCATTCTATAAGGTCATAGGAAACAGTAGCAATTTCGGTTTCTAATAACCCAACCAGAAAAGGGTTAACACGGAGTATTCAAAACAACAGTAACGGCCTGCACGGCGGATTCCGTCTAACTTATCGTGCATCTCTCGTTTAAATGGGATTCCAAACGGAAGAGACTTTCCATAGCCCCTGAGAATTCTGTCATACAATCTCGGCCATATATTAGACTTTGTCCAATTATTTTTTCAAAGCGTAGTCTGGAATGGAAGTCGACATTTTGAAACCAGTGCAATATAAAACTCGACAAAACTGCTTTCTAGTTGTTTATTGTCGACCTGTAGTAGGTCTTTTCATTGGTCGGTCAAAGTACGAAAGGTCAATCTGACGTGACCTGTCATGGGATATGAGGGCTTTGTGAACACTAATAGAACACTAAAATCTGATTTAGATGAGATTGTTTCGGGCATATCGTTGTTCGGGAGTATGTTAATTATAAACAATTATCCCCTGTGTTTCAGGTAAAGAGATGGTGGACTATATCGCAGACTACCTGCAGGATATACGCAGTCGTCGTGTGTTCCCCGACGTCTCCCCTGGGTATATGACGAAGTTGGTGCCGTCTTCTGCCCCAGAACATGGCGAGAAGTGGGAGGACGTCTTCAAGGACATCGAGAGGGTCATCATGCCCGGGGTTCGTATTGTTTGTTTGTTTGTTTGTTGTATTTTTTCAGCTATATGTCGATGGTCTGTTTGTTTGTTTGTTTAACGCCGCACTCAGCAATATCCCAGCTATATGACGGCGGTCTGTATATAATCGAGTCTGGACCAGACAATCCAGTGATTGGCATAACGAGCATCGATCCATGCAATTGGGATCGATGGCATGCATCAACCAAGTCAGCGAGCCTGACCACCCGATCCCGTTAGTCGCCTTTTAAGACAAGCACAGTCGCCTTTTACGGCAAGTATGGGTTGCTGAAGACCTATTCTACCTCGGATCGTCATGGCCTGTAAACAATCGAGTCTCGAATACACAAAGATCCAAGCATTCAACCAAATTACCTAGTCTGGCCAGCAGTTTGTAATTAATGCATAAGCAAGTTCTGCACAACGCCGTGTTAGTAAGGGCATATGAACATGAATGTTTTTAGACCGCCGCAGCAATATCCGAGCTTATCACGGCGACCTGTAAATAATCGAGTCTTGACCATAAAAACCAGTGATTGATATCATGAGCCACACCGTTGGGGTACGACGACACACAATCGGCAAGGTCATAGACTACACATTCCTGATTAGTCAGCAAGCAATACCATCCGGACCGTCTCCGTGGTCTAGTGGACAGAACGTCTGACCGGAGAGCAGAAGGTCACTCTTACCAAAATACATCAAAAGATGGTACTTGTTGTTACCCTGCCTGGCGCGTGACATTTAAGGGAGAAAACAAGGACTGGTCGGCTCGGAGTGAGTGTACTGTGTCTGAGTAGGGTATCAATATTAAACTGCGGCAGAGAATATCTCATGGGGTAGCACTAAAACAGGTACAGGCAGCGCCCCCCCCCCCCCCCCCCCCCCCCCACACACACACACACATACACACAGAGCCACACAGACATAGACACATACATACAACACACACAGACAGACACAGACACACACGTCACTATGTAAGTGCAATAGTCTTAAATGCGACGTTAAACCTTTTCGCTTTTGACCCGTGAAGATCCAGGGTGGAATAGGTCTTCAGCAACCCATGCTTGCCGTAAAAGGCGACTATGCTTGTCGTAAAAGACGTAAAAGGCTCGCTGACTTGGTTGATGCATGTCATCGATTCCAATTGAGTGGATCTATGCTCAATATATTAATCACTGGACTGTCTGGTCCAAACTCGATTATTTACAGACCGCCGTCATGTAGCTGGAATATTGCCGAGTGCCGCATTAAGCAACAAACCAGCAAACCAACTTTTCACTTTACCTCAACCCGTCATACAATATATCGGCATTAGTCGGCTCTATCGATGGGATAATAGTGCGCTAGGCATCCGTCCTGGAATTCCCACAGGGTGAGCCACAGGGTAAGCCATAGGGTAAGCCGCTTTGAGCCATATTTCATTCATGAATCACTGCTTCTCATCTTACTGCTCGTGAAATACTGAAGTAATAAAACGAGATTTGTAGATGTGCACTACTATTGTAAATGGTAAATGCTGCTGTCATAAAAGGTTGATAATCAGAACCAGCAGCTCCTTACACAGCTAGGGTACGCAACTCTGCACAGCCAATGAGGCCACTGGGTCATCCTCGCCTCCCAGAACATGCCGCAAGGAAAAATATGATATGTCTCAAACATTTATCGATGCCAAATATATTTGAAGCCACATTTATTTTTGTCCGAGTGATTTATTTGTCGAGGTCCCCCCAAGAGGATAGCTAATGAAATAGGCCCCCATATCGAGACAGTATCATTGCCATGGTAAACATATTGTCGTCTGCTTGACTTGACAGAGAAGGCCTCAATGGAATCTTCATCAATATATTGTTTGGAAACAAGCTTACAAAGAAAACAGCGCTGATATGAAGGAGATTTGTATAATGCTTAGATGACAAGGAAATCTAGATTTATGTCGCGTAGCGATGCACGCTAGACTCGGCGAGACTTGCCAGCTCACAATCCCATCACACATGTATTAGGGAAGCTTCCGCAATGGCACTCGCTCGTATTCCTACGCTCAATCATGTTACCTTGTCAGACTCTGACTAATAAGATGTAGTCCCTTTTTTCTCGATATGATATGCTATTTTAGCTTAAGTCTTTGTCGGAAAATCAGCGTTTGATAAATCAATAAGCGGTTTAATGTTTTTTTCGTAACCTTGTTTATGGATCATGCGTGGCTACTTTACAAACGAGAAAAATCTGAGATTATGTTTTTTTTGTAAATTGTTTATGAACACTAAGGAGACGGGTGTGGTGTGTTATAAAGTTACGCGAATTGTGTCATTGGTAGTTTCAGATCTCAAATAAATGTAGGAACAACCGTCACACACAAACACCTCCCCTCCCCCTCCAAACACAAACACACTCCCAAGACCAAACCCAACTCACGGCTTCATCAGGTATTGATCAACATTGCAATGAGGATGTTTGAAATTGATTTTCTGTACACTTAACTGAGGAAATCATGAATAATAAACAGAATCAAATCTAATCGAGTTGACGAATATACTTTTTTAAAGGAACTATATATTCACCCCTTAACTAAATTTTTGGGCACTTGAGTAAATCGGGTTTTTCACACGCGTATTAATACTGATCATCTGTCTGTCACTCTTATGATATGAACGATTTCTTTAGCTTCGTCATGATATTTTATTAAAAAAATGATTTTATGAGTTAATATACTGAACAGCATTGAAAACGCACCAGGTATAAATCTTTAAATATTACAAACACAACTTGAGCAATGACCGATTTTAATTAGAACAGACATAGACGGATTATTAAGAAAGACCACAAAGGAAACAGGAATACCACACAGTAATAACATTTATGTCATCAGTGTAAGGAAGACACATAGGGTTAAAATGAAAAGTCAATATCTGGTATGTCCGCCATTGGAAGCAACACAGGCCATGCAACGTCTTTTCATTGATGGAATAAGTCTGCGAATAGTGTTCTGGGGCATTCCACTCTTGACGTAGTGTATCTTCAAGTTCTCTCAGGTTCTGTACTTGCGGACGACGTGAGAGGCGTTGACCCAGGTAATCCCATAGATGTTCAATTAGCGATAGATCGGGTGACAGGGCTGGCCATCAAAGCAGAGGCACATCATTGTTCGCTAGGTACTGTGTTGAAACATGTGCTGTGTGCGCTCTTGCATTATCTTGCTGGAAGGTGTGCATATCCTGGTGCTGACGAAAGAATGGGATGACGTGATTTGCCAATATGTTATTCCTGTAGTAAAGGGCATTAACTCTTCCACGACAAACATGGAGCTCTGTTCGATGGTTATGACAACGCAGTCATTGTGGTAACGTTCTCCCCGTCGACTCCACACTCGCAGTCGACCGTCAGCATTCCTTAAATGAAAAAGGGACTCATCAGAGAACAGCACACAATGCCACTGCCGCAATCTCCAATGACGATGCCTTTTGGCCCAACGCAGACGTTCATTTCGATGTCGATCAGTGAGTATGGGTCCAACATATGGACGTCGAGCACGTAGCCCTGCTGAGCGAAGACATCGACGTACGGTGTCAGCGCTGATCAAACCCCGTCGTCCTTGTACGGTTGCTGCAGTCCTGGTAGCCGGAAGTGTACGATCACGAAGATGCCGACGAACAATATGGCGATCCTGATGTGGTGTAGTTACACGACGTTGACCCGGAAATGGTCGATCTCTTGTGGTTCTTGTCTGCTGGTATCTGCTCAGTAGCCTGAGGACTGTTGAATGATGACATTGAAACCGTTGTGCAACGACTCTACTTGACGTACAAACTTGAAGCATGCCAAGGGCACGTTCACGTTCCTCTGCTGTTAATCTTGGCATTTCTTGTGTCAGTACCCTTTACGTCTGCAGCAACAAGTGATGTGGCTTTTAAAAGTCTGTCTTTTATAGCCCTATTCTGCATGCTTCCCGTGAAACAAAACACGTTTTCCATGATGTGCACGCAATGTGTTGCGTTTTGGCGATGTCGCTCACAAAAAAATTAGGAATGTGTTTTGACGAGCTGTTCTTCTTCATGCTTCGTCCAGAACGTCGTATATTACTCATTCACTTATATATTTCCATATGACTTAAGCCCGGATAAAAATACATCCATTTTCATGGTGGTGCGTTTTCAATGCTGTTCAGTATATTTACAAAAACACTAAAGTACTCATGGAAATGAAAAAAACCCTGTTTTGCTGGATTTAATAATCGACACAAAGCATTACGTAGATGTAAATACGAAATAACAAAACAACTGGAAAAGTACTAGTCTGGATTTGCTAGTTTTATCTCAGTGCTCAATACAAAATGTACTTTACAGGAGGTAATTTGTAGGCACTTTCAACATTCAAAAATAAAACTAAGTCCAAATCGACATGGCAGAAACAGGCTATAGGCATTATGCAAATTAGCCTGGAAAAAAGTTATCAAAACAACAATAAAAATAACAGCTATGTTTATGTACATTATAATAATGACATGTAAGTTGTTGTTTGAGTAGGGAATATGTTACTTTTACGTTCTGATATTTTGACGATGATTCACTATCCCACAATGCCACTCACAAATCACTAACCACTGACAAATCACATGCACGTGGGTTTCAAGCACCTGTTTTCACCTGTCGTCAAGGTGTCATAGGTCATGGACATTCACCTTGATCTACTAACACCTGGTTATGCTCAGATTTTCACAATACTATGTTCTTGTTCATATTTTTACACACTTTTACGTGTAAAAAGACATAAAAACCTTTGATACGCTGTATTTGTACCAAGGCCCAATTAGTACTAATTGAGTTGTTTGAATATTTATATATTTTGTATATTAACTGCTTTTATTTAAAATCTGAGATCGAAAAAACAGGTTTTTTTTCATTTCCGTGAGTACTTTAGATACTTGTGGTTGCGGAAAATATGTCCCTTGATTTGTGTGTTTATCATCTGTCATGTTACAATATACAGCGGAATCACCTGATCACTGAACAATCAGAACTAAATCACTATTTCTGAATGTAACATATCAATATTACGAAAGGAATAGCAGCTGTCGCACCAGACTCTCCAAATCGGCCTTCCCAACCAAATGACACAGCATGTAATCATCACAACTAAAAATAACCATGGAAGAAAAATAAAACCAGATCAAAAGATGAAGCTAAAATAATCTGTGGAAGTTAATGATTCATCTTTTGGTACTTCCCTCAAAACGCGGTTGGACTTGGAAGCCAAAATCACCGTGTCAGTTCGTGCTGAGTATCTCCGATTGTCATCGATGGCATCTTGAAATGTTGAATTTGGTTATGCAGAAGCTGGACCAGGAACTTGCTTGTTCCTGGATGTTCTTGGGTGCTGGGTCTTAGGGGAATCTGAGTCAGTATCCTGTGATTGCTGGCTCCAATACCCATATTATGATATCATTATGATACCCGGGTTTCATCAAAGTGATACATGTCTCCACGCCGCGATATAACTGGAATACTGTTCTCGAGACACACACGCGCGCACACAGACACAGACACAGACAGACACAGACAGAAAGGTACAATGTAATCGGGGTCATCTAAGAGTAGCTTATTAATGTGCTCAAACCGATCGCGAAATAAATAAACGAAACCTATTAATCTACCTATGATGCCATTAAAAACAGCCATTAAACAGCAACTCTCGCGAAGATCCCCTGACAAAAAAGGTAACCTCATGCTAGTCAAAAAGAAATCATATTAATTGGATGGTAACACCGTGGAACCTGGCGTATTATGTCATCGACCCTGGCTTGGTTAAATGATCATGCTATCAACCATCGGTTTGCCTGACTCGACACGTTATATACAGTTCGCAATGTGGATGTCACATTGCTGGCTGTGGCGTAAAACACCATTCTTTCACATACGGTAAACGTGTGCATGTTCTCCAACCTATCAAAACCATGCATATGTGGGGTACGGATAACCTAGTCTAAGGTACCGTAATTCGCAGTACACAGTTACGTCCCTTAGTCGTGCCAGAATCCAATGACCACGGGTTCGAATCTCAGATTACGAAACTTGGTATGTCAGCATCATAACCTGAAACATGTTTTCGTCAAATGGTAAACGCATTAGACTTCACTTTCGCTCTCATACCAAGCTGACACGCCCTACTGTAGCGGACTTACTACTCACAACTCCATTTAACCAAACTCCCACGCGTACACAGTCCACAGCACCATGAGCTGGAGCAACCCCGACGGAACCCAATCAACGCCACACAGGAGTCGAAATACACCATAAACGTGTCTATTACTTTTGTTAAATCACTTTCTTAAAAGACACAGCGAATGACATTCATATAATGAGATATTTTATTGCACAATCCCTTGATTAATCTAATAACTGAAACGTGATCCTAATGATGATGGTGCTTCTAAGATGCAACACAAATAACGCAACTCACTGAAAGGCATACACAATGATATATTAATGCAAATCCGTGTCTTAATATCCATTTATGTTCTTTGTGGAAGTCAACTTTGAGTGAATTATGAATTATAAATTTAAGTCTGATAAATGCGCCATGAAATTAAAAGACAAATTTATGATGAAAAGAAAGATTACGGATGTCCTGCACGCTTCATTGAAACCAATTATGTGTTTAAAACATATTTTTTTCAACTGAGTCACGATTTGTCATACTTTCAGTATAATCTGTCAAATTTGTTTTGGAAGAACTATCCAATTCCTTCATGGAGACATTTCGGCCAGAAAGATGAAAAACATGGTGAGCTGTGGAAAGCTGATAACAGGTTTGGGATGTGGCTAGTGCTGTTTTACTGTAATCGCTTGTTGCAAAATAGAACACTTAAATGTCAGAAAGAGAAATGTAATAAAAACATTTTTATTTCAGATAACTCATTGGCAAAGTCCGCACATGCACGCATACTTTCCCGCCCTGAATTCCTTCCCGTCGTTGCTAGGCGACATGCTGGCTGACGCTATAGGATGCCTCGGTTTCACATGGGTACGTATGTATTGCCTTGAGTTGGCTATCGAGGCCATAAATTGTAACTATTGCACCTTTTTTGTAGGACCTTTTCGACGAAAAGCATTGTTCCAGAAATTACTGGAAAAACATAATTTTGCCTCATCTTTTACACCCCCCAAAATGAAATATGTTTCCCTCCTTGGAGTAGTGATAGAAAGTATGTTCCGTCTCACAGCACGGTCACGTGATGGCGTCACATTCCCCAGAGCCATTCAGCCATATTTCCGCGGATATTTGGCTAATTTGTCAGATAAACTTTGTTGAGGAAAGGGTAGTCTTTAGAATTTCTAGAGGTCGGTTTGAACATATACGTCTCACGTTAACGCTTACGTAAATCGACTAAATTTGAACAGGAAAGCGACCAGGAAACAAACTTAATTGGGATATTCACATGTTAGTACAGGATACAGGAGATTAAGGAAGCTCCAGATGTATTATAGGACACGAGAAGATCCATGCGTGTATTATAGGACACGAGGAGATCAATGCGTGTATTATAGGACACGAGGAGATCCATGCGTGTATTATAGGACACGAGGAGATCCATGCGTGTATTATAGGACACGAGGAGATCCATGCGTGTATTATAGGACACGAGGAGACCCATGCGTGTATTATAGGACACGAGGAGATCCATGCGTGTATTATAGGACACGAGGAGATCCATGCGTGTATTATAGGACACGAGGAGATCCATGCGTGGATTATAGGACACGGGGAGCTCCATGTGTGTATTATAGGACACGAGGAGATCCATGCGTGTATTAATTCCAAAGCACACTAATCCATTGATCAGGGTAATAATATTGTGTTAACGCCACTGAGCATCTATCCAAGTCATAAATGCTTCATAAATGCTTCATAAATGAAAAATAAAGAAATGGTAAATAAATTAACTACGCGTTTTCTCAGGCATCCAGTCCCGCTTGCACCGAACTCGAGACAATTGTGATGGACTGGCTGGGCAAGATGATAGAACTCCCCACCGACTTCCTTCACAGCAACGAACAGACCATGGGTGGCGGAGTGATACAGGTAAGCAGACTCGCAGTCATATACAGGGATTGTTTACGCCAAGTTCGAACTATATATATATATATCAACGGAAGACTTTGAAACCCGGAAAGTTTGAAGGAGTGCTTGCACATTGCAACGTTAATTGCGTGGAATACAAATCTGGTTTTCGTGTTCTGAAAAACTAGATTGAAGAAGCGACGGAAACAAGATTCATTCAATCCTTCATTGTGAAAACTATTCCTTTATTTATTTTCTCTTTTCTTCTTGTGATTGAGTCTTGTTGGTCTTCATTTGTATGAAAATTAAATATTTTCTCGTTTCTTTTAATGTTATCTATAGTTATAATAATTCAAATTCAGATTTGAAAGTATAAAATTAAATTTAATTACTAGCCAAGCCAGATCGAGATTAACGTATTATACATGGCGTGAAATTTCAGCGCGACATTAATATTCTGCTACAAAATGTACTCGTAATTTGTCTGTAATTGTCTTTATAAGCAGAGCATGTACGGAATAACTAATCCGAAACAACGGATCAAAAATACTGTGGCAGAGATGTGTGAGAAGAGCGTGACGTAGTTCGCTTGCTTTACATATCAAGGATGTAGATAAGGATAGGTACTTGTATCCTTGGCAGGTATCAGTGCAGTTGAAAACTTCATTGTCGGAAAGAAAACTTTAATGAGACTTGGGATTTAAAAAAAATACATTGTTCCCGAAAATACTTGAAAAATTATATGCTTCAGACAGTTGAAAAAACAGAAAGTGCCTGCCACAAAAATCCCATTTGTTGTTAGGCGTTTTTCTTTTAAAAGATTTCAGGCACACAGATTTGAATAAAAACGAAACGACGCCAACACACCGAGGAATTTGTGCCAAGGGGACACAACTCTGCATAGCGAATTGCTCCGCCTTGAACGTCAGGGTCCTCCCTTTATAGTAATCTTGATTGTAACGCCTCTGAGATTCGAACCCACGATCATAAGTTTCAAGCAAAGCCACACAGCCAATGGCAGCACCTTAAACCACTGGACCACCCGTACAATATAATGTATAATCAAAATCATATCACCTCTGAGATTCGAACCCGCGACTATAGCTTTTTGACATGCCTAAGGGACGCAACTCTGTATTGCAAATTACAGCGCCGTTGACCCAGGCCCGTGGCTTAAGATGCAAATATATCACGTGACCGTGAATCAACAGGAGACTGATTATACTTTAAAAAAATAAAATTCCAGAGAAATATAATCTTCATGTTGTTGCGTGTCACTAAATATTACATGTGATTATTGTACTTCAGACCACAGCGAGTGATGCAACATTTGTGTGTCTCCTTGCCGCAAGATCCGAGGCGATCCGAAAGTTCAACGACGAAGGGTGGGACCCGGCGGAAATCAACGCAAGGCTTGTTGGATATTGTTCGGATCAGGTGAGCAGACAATTTGATTGATCTATGAACATAAATGTTGAATGTACATAACATTTCAAATACGACCAGTCTGATACCTATTTTAGAAATTACTTCAATATTTTTGTGTGTTTATGTTCTGCACACATGGAGCAATTCCCGTAATTATTGAAGTCAATTATGATAAATAAAAAAGTCAACAATAATAACTTCACAAATTGTTTTTTAATCATTAACACCCAAAAACTGTAGCGACATAAACGACTAGACAAATGTCAGTCAGTCTCAACGTCTACGAAAGCAGCCCGCTTGTGGGCGCGGCCTAATATTTAAAAGTTTATTGAAACGTAAACGCAAAATATGGCTTGGTTATATAACCAGTTACTGAAACTCTTTTATTACTGCGCACACGATCTAAACATCAAATGACCGCCTAATATAATATACAGTGAGATTTATTTGTAATTCATTGTGAAAAAATTGAAAGAGTCAAAGTGGTTATATTTGTATCATATCGAGAACATAGCTTCATGTAACAACAACTCCTTCTTGGCAAATGTTTTGTTGGTCTTGTTATGAGAACAAACAACTTGGTGGTATAATATAGTCGTGAAGAGACTGAGTGAGTATGGGTTAATGCCGCTTTAAGCAATATCTCAGCAACATCACGGCGGGGAACACGAGAAATGGGCTTCACACATTTTACCTTTGTTGGGAATCGAACCCGGATCTTCGGCGTGACGAGCGAACGCTTTATCTTATCCCTTAGCAGTACATTGACACGTCGTTACCCGGAGCTGCATATACTCGATACATTTAAGACGATATGACTTTTTCTTCCAACATAAAAACTTACCTATTACCTATTGTCTTCTATGAATACTGTAATTTTTCATGATACCATTATGTCGGAACTTCTTCCAGTTTGCGTCAATGACGTTTAGGGTTTCATGATAAGGCCATGAAGATCAGTGAGAGTGAGTGAGTGAGTGAGTCGACTTTAGCAATATTCCAACAATAACACAGCAGGGGACACCAGAAATACCCATGCGAGGAATCGACCTAGGTCTTCGGCGTCACGAGCGAACGCTATGACCACTAGGCTACCCTCCGCCGAGATCAGTAACAGCATACGCTCATGGCATAACATTCTTGTCAGGTCTCTCGATAAGAGAAACATGTTTTTGACAAGAAAGCCACATATCCCCTATATATCTGCACTCTGCCTAACCTGAATTATGGATAATCCGATGTGTTTTAGATGTCAATTAAACTTCGTACAAAATCCTAACATTCAATGAGGACGTTACCTTCTCCAGTCGCGGATGGCGATAAAAAGCGCCTAGTGATTGAACATGAAATTGATGCACCTAAACAGTCAGAAGTGAGGGTTTTCATGCGAAAGCTTTGCTTGAAATTGAATCCCTCAAATCAGCATCACGACTTCATTCATGACATCCGTTGAAGACAAGATGGATGTTCACTGGTTCAGAGAGGAAGTAAAAACACTCATCTGTCAACTTATTCAGGACAAACATTTGGTCGCGTTAAAATCGTATAAAAACGTTGGGATAAGCAAGATGGATACAAAAAGTTCAAATTAAATGAAAATACTTTGTTTTTTTAGTTTTAAGAGAAACATAGAATATGTATTAATAATATTGAATAAATTAAATGGGAGATGTGTTGGAATGGGGCATCACTAATAGACGTTAGGGTAACAGAAGATGCTTAGAGGCGATATAGAATTAATATACGATAATCGTTGACACCAAATGGAATGTCTGTTCCGTACGAAGTGGCAATATTAGATCATCACCTGTTTACTGTTGTATCCCTGTAATATATATACATATACATACATACATACATATATATATATATATATATATATATATATATATATATATATATATATATATATATATATATATACCAATGATAACAATAAAATAACAAAAGACAAAAAAATAAAATAATAATAATAATAACATTCCACTAAAAAGGGCCTCCAATACAATTGCATTCTCAGCTTCCTTGGAAGTATACAGGAACGTAAATATTATACCAGTCCACTAGACCAGAATATGTGTCAAGTTCCCACATTGCTTCGGCCTCGGCCTAATCTGAATCATTACAATCCTTACTTAGTTTAGCTTATGATTTTTGACATTTTCTGTTCACAATGCAGCGTATGAGTACTAAGTAGGATGCGACAAGTACATGTACACAAACAAACAAACCAACAAATATGCTAACATACTAACAAGCATAATCCCCAGGGAGATGAGGTTGAACGTGGGTTGAATAAGGTTGAATGTAATACACATTTAAGTTCATCAACCATGTAGTGGAGTCTTGACCATCATCACCAAGGGAGGTAATTTTATTTCCAGGCACATTCTTCAGTGGAGAAGGCAGGTTTGATCGGCCTGGTGAAGATGAGGCTGCTGCCAAGTGATGACAACCTCAGCCTCCGGGGTGACATTCTACAGGAGGCCATCGACAGGGACAGAGACGAGGGACTAATCCCCTTCTTTGTAAGTACACGTGAGACATCGACAGGAACGGGCCTATCTCCTTCTTTGTAAGTACTCATGAGACATCGACAGCGAAGAACATATGCCCTTCTTTGTGAGTACACATGAGACATCGACAGGGAAGAGCCTATCCCCTTCTTTGTAAGTACACATGAGACATCGACAGGGAAGAGCCTATCCCCTTCTTTGTAAGTACACATGAAACATCGTCAGGGAAGAGCCTATCCCCTTCTTTGTAAGTACACATGAGACATCGACAGGGAAGAGCCTATCCCCTTCTTTGTAAGTACACATGAGACATCGACAGGGAAGGACCTGAAGTGAGATTTCCCATGGATGATCTCATTGTTTGTAAGTACCCATGCTGTAGCTACAAGTTTCACTTAATACCACCGTAGCCTATGCACTGTATATGAATTTGTTGGACAGCAACCCTTGCATAACAGGATGTTGTACTATGTAGATATATGTTTGCTGTAACATTAATGGAACAGTCACTGTTTTGTAACACCGTTTATTCACATGAGTTATTTCAGAGAATTACATTGAAGCGTTCCTTTCATTATCCTTCTATTTATCTATCGATATTAGAACCTTTTCAGTTTACCGTAGTATTTTTTTTTTAAAACCGATCAACGATGTAGCATTTATATTAATGGAAATGGGCTTTATATGAAAGTTGTGTATTTTTCATGAAATGGTGCCTTGTGTGGGGATACGAGTTTACGAATAGGTTACCTCTGCTTGTCTTCCGAGGCGACTCAATGGATCGGACGGTCAGGCTCAATGACTTGGTTGCTTACGTGTCCTCGTACACCGACTGCGTGGGTTGTTGCCCTTAATATCAACCTCTGCTTGTCTTCCGAGGCGACTCAATGGATCGGACGGTCAGGCTCAGTGACTTGGTTGCTTACGTCATCGTACACCGACTGCGTGGGTTGTTGCCCTTAATATCAACCTCTGCTTGTCTTCCGAGGCGACTCAATCGATCGGACGGTCAGGTTCAGTGACTTGGTTGCTTACGTCATCGTACACCGACTGCGTGGGTTGTTGCCCTTAATATCAACCTCTGCTTGTCTTACGAGGCGACTCAATCGATCGGACGGTCAGGTTCAGTGACTTGGTTGCTTACGTCATCGTACACCGACTGCGTGGGTTGTTGGCCTTAATATCAACCTCTGGTTAGTCTTGCCCAGACGCGAGTATTTAGCGAACGCTGTCACATAGATTAATTATTGAGTGCGGCGTCAAATATCAAACGATTACATTAAATGATGTTCTGCAGCAGTTGTTATTTGATTTATTTGCTTCCAGGTCAATATCTGTCATGCAGCCTACTTTTATGTTTCAGTTGTGTGCAACATTGGGTACAACTGGTGCATGCGCTTTTGACAACCTGAAAGAAGTTGGACCTATATGTAAGTTCAAGTGACTAAGTCATCATGTTACGAATGTAACTGAATATTTTACACCTTAATTTTACACCTGGGGGTTGGGGAAGCCTGAAGTGATGCACTTCAATGAAGTGAAGCGAAGTGATGGCCACCTGGATCAAAGAGTGGCCCAGTGGTCTTGCATTAACCATATGATTTTGAATTTTGAAATTGAAAAGAGCTTTTTATAGAGAATGGCTTCTGATTCGTGCAAAGCTGTAACTGAAAATATTCTTGTTAGGAAAAAGTATTTACGGTAATTAATTTTGATCAGGTAGACGTGACATTCGCGGGGGCGTATGTTTCTATGCGAAATTTCCTCAGAGATTACACTAATTCCATAACTCAGTCATCCCGTGATGTAGAAATAACGTACAAAGTTCAACGTTCAAATGATATCGCATGCCACTTGATCCCAAGTTGAACAATAAAGGCGGGCATGTCGCAGAGACTACGCTACCAATCAATAACTACAAGTTTTAATCAGCATTCCTCATGCGTTCCGTAAACGACCTTTATCAACAAGGGGAGACCTTGAATTCTCACATTTGGTAAAATGTTTCAATTACAGACAATTACTCTGTCACGTCCTGTCTCCTGTCTTCGTCACAATGGTGGCGCATCTCGCGAGAATACACGTGACCTGCACGCAAAGTAGTCTCGCGAGATTTCTATGCATTATTCAAAAAGCACATACAAATACACTTGGGTAAAGTTCATTGAACGTATTTGTTAGCATCCGCAAGGGAATATGATTATGTCTTTATGTAAACTAATTAATGGGATTTATCTATGTCTCGTAAGCACTGGTACACGGTACATCTTAAATTAAATTTATTATCGAAGCGCCGAATTTTGAACTTTTCATAAAGCTACGCTAAACTTGCTTGACAAAGCTACCATTGTACCGTTTCTGTTGAATGCATCTGAAACGATAAGAAAATAACGCGTCTAACCTCAGAGATGTAAATCACCAACGACGTTCAGTTATTGACTCTGAAGTAATTATATCAATAATCCAAAGGAAAATATGCCCTACGCATATCAGAATACATAAACACTATCATTACCTCGTTATTTACATTCATTAAATTTTAAATGTTTTTACTCATGATTAATTTAGAACTGAAAGTAATAAGTTTTAACTATGACGTCACTTGGAGACCGCTAAACAGAATACCGCACGCCAGGAGCTCAGTTGGTGTGAGTAAGTTAACATGTGCTAACAATGGCCAACCATAGGTAACCTTGGTTAGACCTTGATCAAGGCGGGTTTGGCCACACATTGGCTTCGGTTTACGAAGGTCACTCAAATTTTAATACTTGAATACACGTTGTAATTCCTCCTGGTTAAAGCGGCTGCTCGTTACGCAGAACAGCGTGTTCGATTCCCAAAATTGGTTCGATGAAACCCATTATGTATGTCCACTGCCATGATGTTGCTAGAAGATTATCGGATGCGGGTCAGAACTATTACAGCTAATTCCGGAAGCCTGATATCTCGAACTGCCCTTCGATATAGCCGAGGTATACTTAGTTTTGCTCCTGTCCTGGTTCCAAAATACAAGATATGCAAGGTTTAATAATGCTTTTAAACCTTTAGTTCTGTTCGCGAAGCGGTTTAAGGTTTTCATTGATATGTTTTATGCGTGCAGATATTCCTTTTTCAAAAGGCAGATTGTAAAACGCGTGTTACGTAATACGTGAGTGAGTGAGTGAGCGAGTGTGGTTTTACACCGTTTTTAGCAATATTCCAGTAATATCACGGCAGGGGACACCAGAAATGGGCTTCACACATTGTACGCATGTCGGGAATCGAACCCGGGTCTTCGGTGTGACGAGCGAACGCTTTAACCACAAGCTGACCCGACCGCCTCTCGCAATATCATAACTATCTATGCACTAATTTCTGGTATACAAATACAAATTATATTTCTAATTTCTGACCAACGACTAAAACATGCGAGTGCAGTGGAGTGGAGTGGAGTGGAATGGAGTGGAGTGGAGTTTATTTTCTGCGAGTTAAATCAAACCAAAATTAGGGAGAAAAGCGAGTCGTCAATTTCTGACAAGCGTGTGTGTTTTAAGACAATAAAATTGATACCTGCGATTCTCCACAAGCCATACAGCAAGCCACATTCTCAAGATATCTTCCCCATCCACTAGAAATACTTGTGCAACTATCTTACCGATTAACTGCCTTTATAACATTGTTATCCCAGAATCTGTGAGGCGGTGTATCTGTGATTGACGTTTACACAGCTATCAAATTCTGTTTAAATTTCGATTTTTCCACCACTTTGGCTATTTTCGTGGCGAAACTTTCAACGTCGAAATTGGTAATGAAATTCGAAATTGGGTTCCAGATCAAATTACTCACAGATCGTGGTTTATCTAGGTAGGCTGTTTTCTAAGGGAATCACAACGTCAGATCATGGCCTTAAGCATTTAAAGTTGACGGAGCTGTTTATAGTGGTTACCGGAAAAAAAGATTCTCTAGATTTCCTTGGTGTTAGATTCATCTGTAACTGATGATGTTGCTCGTGTAATAGACACTGTTTTGATAGTGGTAGAATAACGTTGCGCTTCGATGCAACTACGCCGAGCTACTTTTGTTTGACCAGAATACCAGAAGTAACGGACTCTGTTTTAGTAGTTGAGGCGGAAAGATCAAAGGTGCACATCGATGCAGCGTACACCGGAACTACTTTTTTTGCCTAGAATTTTAAATGTAACGGACTATGATTTTAGGCGCAAGGATTAAAGGTGCATATCGCTGCCGGGTACTACGTACTACTTTTGTTTATCCAACATTTCAGAAGTAACGCACTATTTCTAAGTCCAAGAGGCGGAATAATTAAAGGTGCACATCTATTCTGGGAACGCCAGATCTGCTTTTTGTAAATTCGGTCCTACCTTTTTAGTTGAATCTTAAGGACTATGGTACTCCGGTATTGGTTTTGTTATCAAACATTCCAGACGTAACGGACTTAATGCGGAAGGATAAAACATGCACATAAAACATGCACGTCAAGACTATATTTATACTTTAGTAACGCACTATATTTTTTGCAGGTGAGGCGGAAGGATTGTGGATGCATATCGATGCGGCTTACGCCGGAACTGCTTTTGTTTGTCCAGAGTACCGGAAGTACATGGAAGGCGTGGATTATGCACAGTCGTTCGCTTTTAACCCGTCGAAGTGGATGATGGTACATTTTGACTGCACAGCCATGTGGTGAGGTTTGAAACACGTGCGATGCTCGATTCATGTAATAATAATAATAATAATGATAATGTCGAATATGCAATGAATTTAATTTTACTGCCCAACACATTGTCAGTGGATGCCCAGCTTTGGCACAAAGACAGTATCTTAAGCGACATGATGGAGTGGCTCGATCATTTTATTACCATGCTTGTGGTTTTGACACAGAGGTCCATCCATGGTACGTCCCAGAATATGTTGAGGGCGTCATCGAAAATGACAAATACAAAATTCTTTGGAATAGCCCGTATACAGCCTCAGACCTGGCCAGGCCAACAAACCTGATCGTGTCTTTTTTGATAAAGGCACTCGGAGCTTTCGCATTGCAATTGCCAAAATGCTCACACCCCCAGCTCGTTCATTTATAGCCTTGCTAATGACATGATATCTTCGGTGAAGCATTTAATCACGTTGGGACGTCTGCAAAAAACGATTTTAAGTGTAACTACATGTAGCCTGCGTTGTTGACGACTACTGCTACCTTATCTATTTATAGGGGCAGTGGCGTAGATGAGGGGTCGCTCGTCACGCTAAAGGCCCGTGTTCGAATCCAACATGGGTAGAATTTTATGAAGCTTGGTGAACTTCGCCGTGATATTGCTAGGATATTGCTAAAAGCGGCGTAAAATCCAACTCACTTACTGACGTATAAAGCTAAAATCTGAAATAAATGGAACATTGGTTGATAGACACAGCCGAATCAAGGGAAAAGGTTTCTTTCAAAGGTTCGGTTTGTGTGGGATATCAGATTTCATAATACACGGCACGACGATAAAATATTCATATCTGAGTGCAATATTTTAAAAAGCGCTCTTAAGGAGTTCCCAATATATGATTATTTTTCTTTAGGGTGAAGAATAGTGGAGCACTACATCGAACATTCAACGTAGAGCCACTGTACTTAAAACACGAAAACTCGGGTACGTATGACGTATGATGTGTGACATATGACGTATGACATATGATGTCACACTTTGTATACAATGGAATCCGTGCGGATTCTTGGTGTAAATTCTTTCTTTGTTTGTTTTTTGACGTCGCACTCAGCAATATTCAAGCTATATGATGGCGGCCTGTAAAGATAGAGTATTGTCCAGACAATCCAGTGATTGACATAATTATTGGAAACATATTTGTTTGTTGATATGTTACTATTATTATCTCGTATATTGGTTGTTTAACAAGCGATATATAATATTTCATCCTGGGTTTGAATAGCCCTGTGGGTAACGCGTTTACTAGTCACGCTGAAGACACGGTTTCGACTCGCCACATCAGACATCATACCAGTGATTGATATTGTGAACAACGACCCACTCTGTCCATAAAATCGCTTCTTCCAACTGGCATAGTTGCTAGGAACCTGTTCTAACCCGGTGTATGTGTGTGTGTGTGTGTGTGTGTGTGTGTGTGTGTGTGTGTGTGTGTGTGTGAGTGTGTGTTTGTGTGTTTGTGTGTGTGTGTGTGTGTGTGTGTGAGTGTGTGTGTGTGAGTGTGAGTGTGTGTGTGCGTGTGCGTGTGTGTGTGTGCGTGTGTGTGTGTGTGTGTGTGTGTGTGTGTGTGTGTGTGTGTGTGTGGCTGCCTGTCCTTGTCCGGACTGATGCCTGTCGTGTATAGTGCTAGCCCACTGAGATACCATACCACAGTTTAACATGGATACCCCAATCAGACACACTCTACTGACTTTAACCCCTTAAAGATGAGCACCAGGAAGGGAAACAACAAGTGCCATCTTTAAACTTCTGTTCGTATCAGAAGGCCGGGGATCGAACTACAAACCTTCCACTCTCCAGACAGACTCTCTATCCACTGAGGCGGTGACACATTAAATAACATGTGTTTCGGTCTGGGCAGGACACAAACAATAGTGTAACCTTTATTTTATTTTAAAAGAAAACGATACACGGCTAATGCATGTATTTCGTTTCCAGACCATACAGCCAGAATCATTCCGTTATATTTCAAACAGCCAATCAGTGACAAATCACCTCAGCGTGAGACGTGTTTTCCAATGCTGTCGTCACGAAGACGCATCAGTGAACTTCTGACACGAAATCGGAATTTTATCACACGCTTGAGATGATAAAATCGCCAGGAAACTTCACGGATAAGCACAGTGTAAATACGAAAGAAAGAGATTTAAAAATGGGACAGTTTTTGTTTAATCTTTAACATTAGCTATTTAAACCATGACAGGGAGAGCTCAAAAACTATTGTTGACCTGGCTCTCGTCAATTGTATTTAATAATATAAGGATGACAATGAGCGATTTTTGGAGCAAATCTGGTTAAATGGTGTCTCACCGTTTGCTTTAATGTTTAATTTATTGTGATTTCTTGGAATATAAAGCATGATTAAAGATAAAAGGCCCGTGTTGTCCCAAGAGTGTGTTTGGGTGGCATGCAATTATCACCAGCTCATAGCATATTGCTAGGTGAGCCAGTCGATAGCTCGCTGACAAGTAGGTGGCATGGTTCATTGTAAAATGCGAATGTATCCTGTATTTTGGTTGGTTGATTAACGTTGCTAAATGGGGTTCGAAATTCGAGGTTTTTTTTATATTTCACGATGTATGCATCTTTTATTGGATAAATGCCCTATATTTCTTATCCAAGTCAATCACTCATACCGTTATGGAAATGATTGAATTTCTAGCAGTTACACCCCGTGGTCTAGTGGTAGAGCGTCCGCCCGGAGAGCGGAAGTTCGGTGGTTCGATTCCCGGCCGCGTCATGCCAAAATAAGTTAAAAGATGGTATTTGTTGTTAATCTGCCTGGCGCTCGACATTAAGCGGAATAACAAGAACCTGTGGACATGCGCACGCACATCGTGCTGTCAGGGCACTAATCCTGAACGCGACATTAAATCCCCTCTCACCTCACCTCACCTCACCTCACCTCACCTCACCTCACCTCGGTTACCTGGATGATTGCGTGTCCTCCTACCCTGCCGGCGTGGACATTGCTCGTAATATCAATCACTAGTTTGTCTGTTCCAATTTCGATTATTTACATGCCATCTTCATGTGGTCATAAACAACAAACAAACAAACAAACAGTCAAAGTAATATCCGATAAAACACACATATGCAGGTATCGCAGATGCATCTAATTAATTGAATTGAATTGGAATTGAAATTATTTAAGTCTATGATGATTGTCACTACGCGTCTCATTAATCGTACACTTACAAGAGGGTTTGTTGTCCTTATACGTTTGACATGCCCATAATTATAAATGTTGTTTTCTTGTTTTCAGGTGCCGCAATCGACTATATGGTAAAGACAGTCTAAAATAAATTGTCGGGCAAATGAAAGTATACACCTGTGTTTGATGGTCATTCGAAATGGTTGTTCGATGGGGATGTAGTTGATACTGTATCACAGTTGTGTTTTGTACCTTACGTTTGCAGTGTTTGGGGGACTGTTTTCATCCTACTAGTAGTAACGTTTGTCATTTTTTTTTATGAAATCGAATTTTCAAGTGTATATTTTCTTTTCCCCGGTAATTTCATATCCAAACTCAAGTGACACAGAAAAATAAATGTCGGAAGAAAAAAACAGAAAAAGAAATAATACTGAAGACATAGGTTCTGTGTGAAGTAATAAAATTTATATAAACAAAAACATGACATCGTAAAAATATTAATATCTCTTGTGAACACTATTTTCCTGAATATTTTCTGCTTTTTCTGCGGAGTATACGCTTACCAAAACCATTCGCCCTTTGATAAATGTGCCTTTATTTCTTTCCCTCAGTATACATGTACAATGCCTACTTTCAAACTCCTTAAAGTTCAATGATTTTCAATGATAGTAATCTCATTGTACTTTTGATCAAAATTCATCTTTTTATTGAAGGAAATCACAAAAAAATCGTTATAATTCAAATATGAACTGGTTTGGAAACATAGTTGCAATTTACATTGCAATTTACATACAGTAACCGCTCTGCTGCCCTTGAAACTTAACCAGAAGAAAATTATTTTTTTAAATGCAATAAAAATAATTATTACTTTTCCATATTTCAGCATTGGCAAGTGCCCCTCAGTAAGCGGTTCCGTGCACTCAAGCTGTGGTTTGTTCTCAGGATGTTTGGCGTCGAGGGCATTCGTAAACATGTTCGTCATGTAAGTCACGTGACTGTCTAGCATATGCAGCTGGTCCACAGAATCTATAGACTTGGAATATACGCGCGGAAGATTTTTTAATAAAGCAGAAAGATTGATCATAGGATGGGCCATGTTTCAATAGTGGCTAGGTGGTATTCCTCAGTCTATGGATTCCGTTTCTTGACATCGACAAGAATATGCTCATAGCTTAAAATGACAGATCTTCGACAGCCTGTGTATTGCCGATATTCAAGTGGATTTTATTTCATGGATAATTCTTTATTTTTATTCACTTCTTCAACAAGCGCTACTATTACTGACACAACTACTGCATGTATGTTACTGCTACTCTTACAATTACGACAACAACGTCCACTAATGAGTAAGTGAGTATGGTTTTACGCAGCTTTTAGCAGTATTCTCGCAACAGAATGACGAGGGGCCCAAATGATCCTTGTGTATTCACTTTAAAGAAAGTATATTATTTTTCAGGGTGTCAGATTGGCAAAGAAGTTTGAAATGATGGTGAGAAGCGACGAAAGGTTTGAAGTGCCAGCAGAGAGAGTTCTCGGCATGGTGGTCTTCTGTTTGAGGGTGAGTTGATCGCAGTACATTGTAGGAGAAACCCCCCTTCCCGGTGACACTGAACCCAAGTATCTACAACGGGCTGATCCAGAGAGAGAAAAGCCAGCGCCTGCTCGGACCAATGCACATTCAACCCACACACGATAACGCGTGCAATATACAGTGTATGACACAACAACTATATGTATTTCTACTACTTCTGCCATTACGACTACAACGTCAAATAACGAGTGAGTGAGTGAGTATGAATTTAGGCCTCTTTTAGCAGTATTCCCGCAATATCACGGCGAGGGGCCCGAGCGATGGGCTTCACACGTTGTACCAATGTGGGGAATCGAACCCGGCGTGACTAGGGAACGCCTTTACTACTACTACTACTACTACTACTACTCCTACTACTACTACTACTACTACTACTACTACCACTGTCTCCCGAAGATTCCGGGTTAGAATTGGTCTTCAGCAACCTATGCTTGTCGCAAGATCGATGCTCATGATATCAATCACCGGGTTGTCTTGTCCAGGTCGATTATTTACAGACCGCCGTCATGTAGCCGGAATATTGCTGAGTGCGGCGTTAAACAACAAACCAACCCCCCCCCAAAAAAAACCAAACAAACAACAACAACAAACAAAACAAACAAACTGTAGATGGTGGTTCTCACGTGGACACTGGCCACCATTCGTGCAGTCTGGTCAGCATGGAGTCGTCCTAAAACCTGATTTCTCTGATTCTTTGTAAGTCTTGGCATGGCGCTAGTATCGTATCCCAATTGCGTACATCGATGCTCATGATATCAATCACCGGGTTGTCTTGTCCAGGTCGATTATTTACAGACCGCCGTCATGTAGCCGGAATATTGCTGAGTGCGGCGTTAAACAACAAACCAACCCCCCCCCCAAAAAAAACAACAACAAACAAACAACAACAACAAACAAAACAAACAAACTGTAGATGGTGGTTCTCACGTGGACACTGGCCACCATTCGTGCAGTCTGGTCAGCATGGAGTCGTCCTAAAACCTGATTTCTCTGATTCTTTGTAAGTCTTGGCATGGCGCTAGTATCGTATCCCAATTGCGTACATCGATGCTCATAATGTCAACCACCGGGTTGTCTGGTCCATATTCTATTATTTACAGTCGGCCCTTACATAACTGTAATATTGCTGTCTATGATTTATAAAAGGCCTCATTTCATCAGGTTACTGTTTGTTTGTTGTTTAACGCCGCACTCAACAATTTTCCAGCTCATTAGCTCACTAAAAATAGACACGCGTTACCATTCCACTGCAAAGGGGCCCTATGTATTCACGCTTAGCAGAGGATCGTAGCATTTACCAGACCGTGAAATCGAATCTTGCAGCTATTCAAGGCGAGACCGTGACATATTTACAATGGCAAAAGTGCTGAAACTATGAACAAGGGATAGGAAAAATAATTTCATAAAACAAAACCATTGAAGTGGAAGAATTTACAAAATTACTTCTCGGTTTAACGTGGCGTGAAGGTAAAAAAATCCGTTCTTTGAAAGAATGATTGACGATATAAGAAAACACTTTATGAATAATTAATAATGATAACAGCGTCGTCAAGTTGCTTGCAAATGCTCCTCTCCAACAGCCAATGGGCTTAAAGCTACTTATATTGGGAGCTTTGTCCAGGGTAACCTTTGAAACCCACTCCTTGGTCAATGTCGGAGACACTTGGATGACATGTCGTAATGAACCAAAGAAGCTGCAACTTTTGATGTGTGATTAACTGTTAACTCCCTCGTTTGTATATACATGTCATTAGAGATGAAGCAGAGTCTGATAGGATTATGATGCTCTTGGTCTTTCTTTGAGCTCTATCCTCACGCAATCTTACCAATAAACCTTCATTCTTGTCAATGGCGCATCATCAATACTGGCTCGCTGCAACAGATTTCGCTAATGTGTGTGAAATATGTTGAGACCCGTTTATCTGCATCTTCACATGATCCAAGCAGGCAGAATAAACCTTCATTTAAACTGATGAAGTTTATTTTCCTCTTCACCCTGACGTGGAGACTCTCTTGGTGAATGTTTAGACATGGAACCTGTGTATACTTTCTTAGTTTAATTATATATAAAAAACAACATTTTTAAACATCGTATCCTAGATTAATTAAGTGAATGACGAAACACATTCGCCTTTGTGTGTGACGTGTGCCACCGAAGGGGCAGGTGACGCTTAGTTTCATCTCTATTTCATAATTATTCATAAACACATGCGTATGATCTCATCGGAATCGTTCAATGGATGGTTTTGGATGATAATGGAAATGATTTTGTCGATTTTCTAACTGTTTCACAGGAATAGTTATCTGGGGGGCACGGGTGGTCCAGTCGTCTAAGTCGTTGCGATTCGCTTTGCAGAGTTGCGTCCCTTGGGCACGCCAGAAACCTATGCTTGTGGGTTCGAATTCCGGTTCGCCCCGATTATGTTTCTAGGTTTGTCGGCACCATACCCGTGCTCGTGGGTTTCACCGAAGTAGAAAACGTCTGAGACTTTCATCACTTCGGGCTTTCCTCCCACATTAAGCTGACACGCCGTAATATAACTGGAATACTGTTAAAAGCGGCGTTAAACCCAACTCACCCACTCAATAGTTATTTGACTACCTACCCACTGCCTCCGCCCGCAACCTATGATTTGACCCGGTACTTGCTACCATCTAGAGAACATATCCGTACAATGTTCTTATGCCAACTTGAAAATTGGATTTGACCAACAAATTATAACGGTTTTCAAAACGTAACCAGGCTGAAAACAACGGGAACACTGCAAACTTAAGGTCCAAGACACAACTATGATACCCGTATCAAATTCATCACCTCCGAATAATTATTTATTGTTTGTTTCATTTTAGCCACCACAAACATGGTTGTGCACTTCGGCTAGGTTTATTTTCTCAAATGCCTTTAATGGATGCACGGGTGTCCTTCAATCCTCTGTGTAGAGCTGCGTCCCTTGGGATTGCCAGAAACCGATAATTGCAATCTCATTAAAATCAGATCTGAGTTCTTGCCATCGCTAAACATTACGGATCACGTCAGAACGACCTTTCATCCAACCAATCAGAGCGTCGGTTACCAAATCATGAAAGTGACAGTCGGAATGTGTTTTCGAATCATGCAACCTCGAAATATTTAACAGAGGGTATCCTGAATGACAGTTACGGGTTTTATGATTACATCAATAGAATCAAGGCCATCTATAAGCATTTCCAGAATGTTCTTTATCAGTTTTAAATTTTTTAATCGAGAACAAGTCAAAACATGATTCGAAGCGTAGTCGCCAGTTTGAAACTAGTGTCGTAAAGCTTGAGAAAGCTGCCTTTTGAATGGCAAAAGTCGATTTCTTGTCAGTCATTTCATTGGTTGGTCCAAGTTTGCGAGAGGTCGTTCTGACGTGACCCGTAATGGGATGTCCGAGATTGGCGATAATTGTGGGTTCAAATTCAAGATTTTATGTTACTAGATTTTTTGGCACCATACCCGTGATCGTGAGGTTCACCCAAAGTGGTTAACACATCACTTTGAGATCTTCTACCACAATAATTAGACAGTTAAATAACTGATGTACTGTTCAAAGCGGCGTTGAGCCCAAATCCTCACTCATTCACTCTTCCCTTCCAGGACGACAACGACAACACAGAGGCCCTGTTGAAGCGGCTGAACAAATCTGGCAAACTCCACATGGTGCCAGCAGCTTTGAAGGAGAAATACGTCATAAGATTCACTGTGACGTCACAGTACACAACTGACGATGATTTAGAACGGGATTGGGTCGTCATAAGGGAGACGGCCACAAGAGTATTAGCTGACGAGGATGAGGTATTTATAATGAGTTACTTCCCCTTGAAATGTACATGTAAACTAGACCACCAAGTGGCGCTGATATTGATGACAGGTAGGTGATGTTTCAAAGAATATAATTTTTATGTAAACTAGACCACCAAGTCGCGCTGACAGAGATGACAGGTTGGTGATGTTTTCATAGAATACATGTAAACTAGACCACCAAGTCGCGCTGATCGATGACGGGTAGGTGATGTTTTCAAAGAATACATATAAACTAGACCACCAAGTCGCGCTGATAATGATGACGGGTAGGTGATGTTTTCAAAGAATACATATAAACTAGACCATCAAGTCGCGCTGATAGTGATGACGGGTAGGTGATGTTTTCAAAGAATATATGTAAACTAGACCACCAAGTCGCGCTGATCGATGAAGGGTAGGTGATGTTTTCAAAGAATACATATAAACTAGACCACCAAGTCGCGCTGATAGGGATGACGGGTAGGTGATGTTTTCAAAGAATACATATAAACTAGACCATCAAGTCGCGCTAATAGTGATGACGGGTAGGTGATGTTTTCAAAGAATATATGTAAACTAGACCACCAAGTCCCGCTGATCGATGAAGGGTAGGTGATGTTTCAAAGAATACATATAAACTAGACCCTCAAGTCGCGCTCATCGATGAAGGGTAGGTGATGTTTTCAAAGAATACATGTAAACTAGACCACCAAGTCGCGCTGATATTGATGAAGGGTAGGTGATGTTTTCGAAGAATATATGTAAACTAGACCACCAAGTCGCGCTGATCGATGAAGGGTAGGTGATGTTTTAAAAGAATATATGTAAACTAGACCACCAAGTCCCGCTGATCGATGACGGGTAGGTGATGTTATCAAAGAATACATCTAAACTAGACCACCAAGTCGCGCTGATATTGATGAAGGGTAGGTGATGTTTTCAAGGAATATATGTAAACTAGACCACCAAGTCCCGCTGATCGATGACGGGTAGAATATATGTAAACTAGACCACCAAGTCGCGCTTATAGAGATGACGGGTAGGTGATGTTTTCAAAGAATACATGTAAACTAGACCATCAAGTCGCGCTGATATTGATGAAGGGTAGGTGATGTTTTCATAGAATGTGAAAACTGTACCCCATTTAAAACCTTTTCGTGAACACCTTGTGTCATCACTATTTGATAGTGATTCACAAACACATACTTATGATATAGTCGGAATCATACAATTGACGCAATGGAGCAGAGATTTCTAACGATGATTCAAATGGTTTTGACGCTTGATATTATTTATTTGCTTAAAAAGATGCTAGCAACTGTGTTTTCATTGTTACTACAGTTTCTAAAATGCCACTTAAACATATCTTCTAATGATTTTAACATGTCATATGCTAAGAATATGAATTCCTAATCATGTCTTTATCGAAAGGTTCCGGAGGTGAAGAAAGAGATCCTACAAACCGCTGCCCCTGAGAAACAACGCCAGGTAATTATGCGGGTGCCTAGCATCAAGCGAAAGGACTTCGGTATGAGTCTTATCTTAAGCAATGTTCCCATGTCGCCCAAGTTTATCAATGGAAGTTTCGCAGCCATCTTTGACAACAACAACATCATTGTAGAGTTTGCCAAGGAGCTGAGTCGTGGAGATTTTAACGGCAAGACCATCATGCTATCTCCACGCCGCCGCATGAAACTCCGAGACCAGACGAAACAACAAAGTTTAGATTGCAACCTCTTCGCAATCCGGCGGTCCCCTGGCCGCTTCAAACAAGGATCACTTGATTCCAAGATTGATGAAATTCTGGAAACATCTTCCTACGACAGTGATACTCAGTCGGGGCTGTTAAGATCCGACAGTGTGGAGGAGAATGGATTTGATGCTGAGTTAAAGCTTGGGAGTGCTGAGAAAGGGCCTGCTGAAGGCGACTCTGAAAGCCTAAATGGCGTCCATATGATTTGCAAGCACTGTGGAAAGCCAGTTGAAGACTGAGATGTTCAATCAAAGTTACAACCTGGTTGTGCAAATAAATATTATCTTATGATGAACTAGACATTTGAATATCTTGTTGACCAATCAAATGCAATGTAATAATCGCCACGGAAGAATGATTTTCAAAACGGATACTAACATAAACTTGTCAGAAGATTTGTAGAAATGATATTTTTACGATTTGAGAAAAGCATTGTTATGTATCTATTTGAGTTCGGATACAATCCTTTCATGGCAATGATTCAATGGTTGTGATAGTCAAGTGTATGATATTTCAAATTAACATCGTAATGTGTAGATAGAAGAATATTCAGAGTGTACCATAGCATTTTGTTCGGACAATATTTAGAATTTCATATGCATAATTCATACTGCTGTAAGTGTTTATAAAATACCATAAATTGTAGATGTGTGTCGTTATTAATGTATGCGTCATAGTATATATATTCTTTCATCTTTCAGGATGAGAATACAGGTAAACGTTTCATCAAGGCGTTGGGTTATAATGTATGAATGTGTTAATATTGGTGTGACTATATTTTATGTTAATTTGGGAGCGGTGTACTTACCTATTATAGTTTATTTTGTGATATGTTCCTAACAACTAACATAACCAACTTCTATGGTTATAATATCTGCTTTTTCTGCTGTGTTTTTTTCTCTTATTCAGTATGAGGTTATATTTTTATTTCGATACATAATACGTGTTATCATTATCGCATAAGCATTACAAAAGTATGCATGATTCCAGTTCCATTGCCACTGAGCTACTAAAACCTGATGTATACAATATAAAACACGCATATCTTGGATGTTATAATACCCAACCTATCGCTATTTCCATGTTTACTCGTCATAATATATACCACTGAAAAGAAGTAAAAGAACAACAGATCCTTTCATATTGCTTTCATATTACTGTAGTAAACTAGGGTAATATGAAAGAATCATTCCATGACAGATTAACTATAGTAATATGAAATAATCGGATCTTCTTTAACTTCTATTGAGAAATATAGATGCTTCTCAGGGGATAAAGCCATTACTTCAAAATATACACGTACAATTCCCTGAACCAACAACACATATCTTCAGAAAATATTTTGTTTGAAACACAGGTGACAACATTATCTTAGGGATGATCCATTTTACTCTGAGGCAGAATATTCTAGAAAAAACATTATGCTTGAGATTGTTGATCAAAAATGAAAATACCTGGCCAAAAATACATTGTAGCAAGGTGTTTTTTTGTATGTGAAAAAGATTAATTAGAATTATGATATTAATTATAATAATATCTGGTTATGCAGCAGTAAACATATCGCCTTTTACGAATATTTGACGAAGTCGGTTGATCAAGGTTGCAATCATTTAAGGCCTATATAAAGCTTTGAAACTCTACAGTAGACGTGAGGAGGCAATTTCATAAATTGGCGGATTAGTGAAAAAAAAATTATGAGAAGAAATCCCTAGTTTGGCTTGTACAGTTTGTGTTAGCTTTGTCTGTGGTTGTGACAGACTCACGTGTACGCGTACATCCGGTACCACGACTGTTTGGCAGTGATTTATAAACACATGCTTATGATATAGTCGTTACGTACAATGGACTCTGCGTTTTAGCATCGAACCGTATGATTATGGATTTTTTTTGTCGCTTTTATTTATATCACAGCGTGTCAGATTAACGTGAGTGGAAAGCCAAAAGTGACGCAATGCTTTTAGGGAACCTCATTTATCTTTTAGGATATATTTCTGTATTCTGTTTGTGTTTTGCATGGTTTGGTTATGGGCAATTTGCATTTTGTTTCAGTATTAATCCTCGATTCATGTATATGTACAGCTAACGGGGTATAACGAAATGGGATACACAACCGAATGCAACACCATCTTAATTTTACCCACAATCATCAGCAAACATGTTGTCAGAGTTCGTATCACAACCCGAAACTTTTGCAGGATCAAACTCCGTGTCAATATAAATCGTTTCAAGGAGCAAATATAGACAAGCACAGCTTCACACCGGCGGATAACATATTCGTTACGTCCTGCTACGGAACTCTGACGTCATGCTTTGTGGCGCGCGTAAATGAATGAGGATAGAGTTTTCAGCTTCAGATTAGAATTACTTGGCGTTCTCAAAAATCGGATACGCATGCCAGATGAAAGTATAATAACAAATCTGATCTTGAAACTGTTCTGATATTTATATGTGAAGCGAATTCGATTTATCGCGAGTTTACGTTCGTAATATCCGGACTTGACAATATGCTTCAAATTCGTTGTTCTAAAGTAATAGAGACGGGGGTGTAATTTGATGGTAAAGCGTTCGTTCGTTTGTTACGTCGAAGCTCCGGTTTCGATTCCCCATATGGGTGAAATGTGTGAATCCCATTTCTGGTGTAATTTGCCGTGATATTGCAGGAATATTGCTCAAAGCGGCGTAAACCATACCCACTCATTCTTAAATAACATAGGGAACCAACAAATGTAAAGATTTAACCCTTCTTCAGTTGTATGTTGATATAATCATTTCATAAATGTCCTTACTTTATGCAGTTCCGTAAATGCTTGATTTTATTTCTTCTTCAATTGTTTTCCCCCATAAAGGATTACCGGATACGATGCAACAAACCAGCTTGAGCGGAGATCAAACCCAGAAATCCCACACGAAAAAGACTAGGGTGCCATTTGCGGAATCACTTCTAGATCTAAATCAGGATACAATATCGTTTTAGGAAATACAAGCAATGTTAGCCCACCCCAAGAGTATCATGCTTCTGGTCTTGTGGTTTGGTTTACGAAGACGCGAGTGCGACATGTGCCGTTTGAACTTTATTTTTTAACCAATGCAGGTTAACGTTAGCTGTCCTTTGTTAAAAATCCGAAAAACGACGCACGAGTTTGAAAACGACCCACGGGGTCAGAAACGTAATTATTTTTTTGCCTAATAGAGACAATGTTGGTAAGTTATTTGAGGGAGGAGAACTACATTCCTTTACTGGTTGTTTTGAACATGCCTGTGATAGATAGTGTAAGAACAGACAAACGGTTGTGGTACTGTGCTTTTGTAATCTGTATCCATGTCAACCTTAATTTATCATTTGGATATCTTCAGTTTAAAAAGATGAAACCTTTATTATCAGATTTTAATATATACACGTATTTTAAAACATTTGTTTTGTATTTTCATAGTTATTATAATGGTATATAATAATTTATGTTATTTTTTTATTTTTATTAATATTTTGTAAAAGATGGTCTGTTGTTGCTGATATCGAGTTTTATTCGATCCCAGATACTAGTATATGAAAGTCTTTTAAGGCGAATTGTATTTTCTACCTATTCCAATTCGAATCCCTTTAAACAGGACTATTACAATAATGTTTATATGGTTGGGATTTTCGGAATTCGGAATCCGTGACAATCCGTGTTCATGGGTGGTTATTTAAATGACGTAGTGTTATCTTTCAGATATTGAAGTTAATAGTAACGACATACGAACCTTGTTCCTCTATCAACGTAACTCTCACTCAATGATTCATGTATGTATGCAGTATTTCTGACTTTCAACTGTTTATCGCGAAACAATACACACAAGCAAACCGATTGGTATTTCTTAAACATCCCTGTTCTTTGTTAAATGTTCATAAAAAATGAAATACATTTGCCGTGTCTAACAAAAACGTTTCCGATAGATAACGTGAACAGAACGCCCTACTTCCGGCTGGTTCTTCTCTCGCATTGACGTTTTTCTTCTTTAAGAAGAAAGTTGATATGGTTTCAAGTAAGGGGCCGATCACGACTATTTGTTTTTCTGGGAGAATATTGTTGGAGACAGAGTATATTGCATCGGTCACTTCTCCAAAATATATAACATCAACGTGAGAGAAAAGCCAGTCTCGATTATCTGTCGAAGCAGATTTCATTGGGCGTAAAAGACTACCGTGTTTTCTCTCTGAAACATGCAGCGGTACAATATGATTTTTCAGGACAACCATTATGTCGGGCGTTTTTAGTAAGCCCGGGGTAACCATCAATATTATTATCATAACAAATCAATCCCTTAACAAATTACTAACCGTAGTGTTTTTAGCCGGGGCTTTTCAGCAATGTTTGATTTAAATGGTGTCTATGATTTTTTGTTTGTTTGTTGTTTAACGCCGCACTCAGCAATATTCCAGCTATATGACGGCTGGTGCCTGTGAAGGTGGTCTTTTGTACAATTGTTTTTGAAGAGATGTTCAATGTTGCCCCCTAGTGATGTTTGGGGACAGTACTCCATAAGATTCGTTAATCCGAAAACCTGCCACTAGGACGAATAGTGTTGGGATATGTCCACTTATAGAGAGAACAGAACTTTCTCGTTAAACCGGACATTTGTTGATCAGGACGATTTGATGGGGATCCTACTGTCCGGATGAACGGCGTTTCGTTGAAACTTGTAGTGTTATGATGTATGCTGTTGAAGAAGTTATTTTTTAAGTCTTTCATTACTTTCTACACACAGATGAGAACCTATAAGGAACTGTGCAATATAGTTATAGTAACCAAACTGATGCAACTGTATTTTGATACTGGTAAGACAGCATATCATTGGTGGCGACTGAATGGGATACCGTTGGGGTTCTGTGATGGGATTGGTGCCCTGCAACCTGTGCAGGTCGTAAGACACTGGATTGTCTGTTCCTGGCTCGATTATTAACAGGTCACTGTCATAAACTACAATATTTCTGGGGGTGGCGTTAGGAAACTAACACTCACGCAATAGTGGCGAGGAATTTATCAAACTTGACCATTTATCTTCCAGTAAGCCAAAGAATTGATTCTTTGTAATTATTTCTGACAAATTCAATTTCTCTTCTGACAGAAAAAATAAGCATATATTGAATTATTAACCAGTAAAGTCTCACCATCTGACCCAAGCATGGGGATGTACTTAGTGGCTTGTGTTATATATACGTGTATGAGGGAACATCTACGGTTCATCCTCGATTATCCAGTGAATAACATCTCTATTCTATTAACATATACACTCCTGACTCTTTCGCCGCCATACAACCGTTTTGAGGACGGGTCGAATGATACGCCGCTAAAAAAGACGCCCAATCACATCATACTGTTCTTTCTTGATTAGAACAAGCGGCGACATCACCAGTCCTCGGCGCGACTCCACAGGACTTCACTCAGTAATCAGAGCTTACCTTTCCAGCTTAAATTTCAATTGTAACATCGTAACAGTCTCCCGATTCTATGGGACGAGGCTTAGCGTTCAGAAGAGGCATTCTGATTGGTTGACGAGTCCAGGGTCATGAGTAAGAGACCTCTGGTGATAAGAGAGATAGTGATGGTGACGTGAATAGCTCCAGGGTACACCTAAATAGAATGAAGTTAAATACCATGGATAATCGAGCATGCTAAAAAAATAAATTACTAAAAAAAAATATTTCAATGTGCCCGGTTATGTTGATAGCGGCTGACATTCAAACCATCTATTTCATTATTAAAAAAGGTAAAAAGAAAAAGGGCGCCTGAAGTAACAAGTTTGAGTTGTCTCCCTTAACCGTGACGGGATCCGCTGCTCATGGGTTCGAACCCCAGTTTCGCCCTGATATGATCATTGGTCTACCGCACATTGAAAGGGTCCCCCTGTGTCACGTTGGGCTACCCTCCCACATTGAGTTGGTAAGTGAGTGAGTTAAAATCTAACGTTGCATCAGCATTGTTTCAGCCCTATAGCGACTCCACATTAAGCTGACCTTCTGTGGTGATACTGAAATACTGTTGAAACTGGCGTTGATCCAAACTCATTCAGTGAATAGCGAAAAACAAATTTATCCCAGCCACTGAAGACACTATTTGTGTGAAGTTGATCTACGAAGGAATAGAAAAGCCATTAGTACATTTGTTTTGTTCTGGAAGCCATTTTATGACGTAACCATCCCTTCCTCCTGATTTCAGTCTCCACAAATTATGTGTGTGATCAATTAACGTCAAGTTGACGTTATGGCGTTCGGATTGACGTTTCTTGAAGAAGGAGGCACAAATGAATGTTATCTCACATCCTTATATTTAGATAACGTCAAGTGGACGTCATGGGGTACGAATTTACGTACCTTGATGAGGTCACCGATTAATGTTACCTCACATGCTTTATTTTCAGATAACGTCAAGTTGACGTTATGACGTACGGAGTGGCGTACCTTGATGACGTCACCGATTAATGTTACATCACATCCTTTATTTTTAGATAACGTCAGGTTGACGTTATGACGTACGGAGTGGCGTACCTTGATGACGTCACCGATAAATGTTACCTCACATGCTTTATTTTTAGTCAACGTCAAGTTGACGTTATGACGTACGGATCGGCGTACCTTGATGACGTCACCGATTAATGTTACATCACATGCTTTATTTTTAGATAACGTCAAGTTGACGTTATGACGTATGGAGTGGCGTACCTTGATGGAGAAATCACCGATGTATGCTATCTCACTTACTTTATTTTTATGCCATGAAAAGTTGACAGATTGTATTAGGGTTTCTCTGTACTTGCCATCCTTGTATAATTGTCCAGATGTTATTAATCATTACTATACAAATGGTTAGTTTGGTGTGATATGCATTGCAAATATGTAATAGTTGATATTCTAGTAAAATTATGTTGGTGTATTGCTGTGTTTGTTATTCATTTGCATATTCACGTTTTAATGTAATGTTTTTCATGAAATGAACTCTGTTGGGATTCCGTGTAAGAAAGGTCCGTTGGAACCGATGCTGATCTTAAGAGGCGACGTGATGTATCATCAGCTAGCCTGTCTGCAAAGATACGCTTGCAATATTTTAGCTATGTGACGGCGGTCTGCAAATAATCGAGTCTAGACCAGATTTCTAGTGATTGATGTCATGAGCATCGATCCACGCAATTGGGATACGATGACAGGCATCAACCAAGTCAGCGAGCCTGTCCACCTGATCCCGTTAGTCGCCTCTTACGACAAGAATGGTCGCCTTCTACGGCAAGCATGGGTTGCTGAACACCTCCACTATCCCGGATCTTTACGGGTCTACCAAGTCAGCGCGCCTGACCACCTGATCCCGTTAGTCGCCTTTTACGACAAGCATGGGTTGCTGAAGGCCTGTTTTACTCGAGATCTTCACGGGTCGCAAGCAGAGATAATTACATGACATTTGTGATATATCAACGGTAAAGTCACATTTCAGTTTTGGAAATGATACAACAACGTACTTATGTTCATAACCTCACAGAATATTTTTCTATCATCGAATTACTAATATTACCGATGTACATTAGTGTCATGTACATTGTAAACCAAAGCCGATAGTATGAACACGGATCCATGCCTCCGCGGAACGACGACATACGAGCTACATAGATCACCACAAGCATGTGCCCTGAGACTCTACTCTGCGCTGAGATCCCGGGTCGACATACATGTTTGTTTGTTTGTTGTTTAACGCCACACTCAGCAATATTCCAGTTATATGGCGGCGGTCTGTAAATAATCGAGTCTGGACCAGACAATCAATTATTGACATCATGAGCATCGATCCACGCAATTGGGATACGATGACATCATCCTATCCCGTTAGTCCCCTCTTACAACAAGAATAGTCGCCTTTTACGGCAGGCATGGGTTGCTGAAGACCTGTTCTATCTACCCTGGATCTTCACGGGTCCGGCATACATGTACACACATCTAACCCTAACGCCAACTTCAGTGGGATTCGAGCCGTCACCGGAAACAATTCACCACCGTGGTTGACCCATGAGCAAACTGACAGTGCAAGTACGTACGCTTTGGCCTGATTCCATGCCATGCTAATATTATAAATGAGGTGAGGAGAATGGGGTTCGATCCCCTGCCGCGTCATCCCAAAAGACGTTACAAGATGGTACTTGCTGTTACCCTGTCTGGCGCTCGGCATTCAGGGTCTAAAACTAGGACTGGTCAGCACGGAGTCAGTATGTGTCTGAGGGTGGTTTTCATGTTAAACTGCGGCATGCAACATTCACGTCGCTATATAAGTTCAATAATCTTGAACGCGATGTTAAACCCCATTTCACCTGGACTTATATGTTCAACAATATTGTATAAAAACCTAGAACGACTATTTCACTGGACTGGACACGTTTCATTTAATCTGCTAGGTAAACTAAAGCCACATGTGATTATTATAACGAGAATGGGTTAAAATCCTAACTAGCGAGTCATTTTGATTACTATGATTGCAATACTAACCTTTCACGAGAACTATATTGGGTGAGATTAGCAGTATTGTCATACAATGTTAAAAAGACCAGAGAACATAACAATGACAAGTATTAAAGCATCCGACCAACGCAAAGTCTCATTTCGATTCCGCGATATTTTCCGTGTCCAACATGGAAGACACCAGAACAATTTACGGCAGCAGCTTTTGACGTTAGACGCCTGAGGATATTCCTAGGTGCCAAACCAACAGTGAACGCTCTAACCACTGGAAGAAAACTCTTGTTCGATTTCCTCTCGTTGGCGAGAAAAGCCGGTGAAGTTTGTTTGCAAAGGGGATTGGGTCGATTAGCGACGCTATAAAAATATTAAACTCGTATTGACAGGATTATCGGAAAGATGGAGACTTTTTTTGACATGTAACAGAAACGCGTTGACTTTTTTGACTCGTCTTTTTATCATTATGCCCTGTGTGTTTGTTCTATGAACGTTAACACTGTGAGATTGTGTTATATCGATTATCGCAGGGATAAGGAAACGTTGGCAATGAACAGTGAGTTATTTTTCTCAGAATCACTGCGGACTGATTTAGTAGCGCGTTATTGATAGAGGCGTTAACATGTGCCTACAGTGTCTCCTGCATTGGCTAAGTAGAAAGTAAATGTTTTGGGTATATGTTCATTGTGTGTAAAAAACCCAATTCATAACACCCACACATGCGGTTACTTTAATACTTGAAGTAATACTAGATTTTCGGATTTTTCTGGTTGAAATTAAATATGAATTATGATTGTTATGCAATTTGAAAACCCAAATATAATTATTCTTGTTTATGACAACAGACGGTGGTACAGGGAATGTTTCTTTGATTAACAAGTCAAATAATTACCTCATTTCCCTCGTTGATTGACTTGGTTTTTAATTTGAAAAATTAGAAATATGTCTGATATTTGGTGAACATCAGCGTAATCGGTTACCTGAGAATTGCTGAATGATTCTTTTCACATAATACATTTTAGTCAAAGATGTGATTATATATATTAATTTAAGATTTAGGGGATCAACTTTATGTTTTGTTTTAAAGTCTAAGGGCGTTTTTGAGTATTGTTAATTCAATCGGAAGGAGTGCTGCAATTTGATAGGTTTGAAAACTCTGATAAATGTGATCATGATTGGATCCAAAACATTTTCAGCAGTTTTCACTGCGTGTGAATCAATAGCTTCGCCATAATGTTTGAATTCAGTGTTCATTGCTGTCGTATACGCTATATACCTTGCATCGCCTTGTATCGATGTTATGTATGTATTAAATCTATATCACATCTGTTATCGACAGACCAGGATCACTTCGTCCTGTAAAAGTCCCGTTTGAAAAACAAACGTTCTCCAGATGTTGAAAAATGTATTGTAAATCAATAAATATACAGAAAGTGCGTCCCGTTATAACACAAACGGACAACATATTTCGTACTCGTTATTTTGTGAACATATTCCTTTGTGAAAGGCTGTATGAGCAAGCACCGGAATAGGTAATATTTACTTCTTTTTGTTGTATCTACACTATGCCTGAATGCGTGATTGTTCTAATGCGTGTAATTTATTGGGTAAGTGATATATAATTCTAATATCTAGCGACACGTTTTATTTAAAAATCTAGCCGACGGAACGGATAGTCAGGCGATAGTCTGACACTTATCTAATGTGCACTAGTTTGGTCCTCCCACATAGAGGTGACTAACGCGTTCGGGTGGCAGATGCATGTCATCCTTTTGGAAATGCCTGTGATGTCAAAAAGTGGATTATCTGGTCCAGGCTCGATTATTTACAGACCGCCGCCATAAAGCCTGAATACTGCTGCACTAATTAAAAGTCTAGTAGTGAATTCTACTAACATAGTTAGTAACAGCGGCCAGAAAGTTAGTAAAAAACGAATGTACTATCAGGCCTGGTAGATTGCACGATGATGCGGAAAGTTAGTAAATATTACCTATTAAATTAAGGGCGGCCATGTGAATTCTAGAGGTGGAGTGGGGGATTTCGAGAAAGCCATATTCTTTGACAGAGAGGCATGACAATGAGAAACAGTATGCCTGTAACCCTTCTTTGTCAATAGTCATTTCACATCTTCGATTTTAAGAGGCCATAACAGTTGTTTACTGTGATAGAAAATGCATCTTACTCATATACCCTTACTTCGAAAAAATACAATATAAACATATAAAAATAAAAATAGATTATTGTAATAACCTATATTGAAGAGCTAAAGAAATGTTCACAATCAACATTGTTTGTTCCTAAAAACAGAACAGGAGGATATGGTCAAAAGACATGAATTAACAACATCATCACATGTTACCATGGGAATCAAGTTGGCCTAAATTGTACCCTATTGCAGTCTGAGATGTATCGGTTTGAGGATGAAGGGTTTGTTTTGCTCGGGATATGCAAGGATTGGGGCGGTTGTCGGGACTTTCTTCAGCTCTTCGAATGCCAGTTGGCAATTGTTGGACCATTCGAAAGACTTTTTAAGAAGGTTATACAGAGGGGAGGCGATGCCAGAAAGGCTTGCTACAAATATGTGATTTTACAAGGCGAACCTAAGAAATGGACATTTGTAGAGGGTGGGATCTGTGTGTCTGAATCTATTCTTGCTGAAGATATGCCCTAAGTAGGTGACTTGTTTCGTCGCGAATTTACATTTGCTTGGTTTAAGAGTGAGTCCTGCATCTTTGATCTTCAGGAATACTGCCTTGAGGTGATTCAAATGTTCCAAAAATGTTTCAGAAAATATAATGATGACATCTACATAATATTATGTTAGTATGGAATACCAATTCATTTCTTTACTGTCTCTGCACTGGTTTGCAAAAATGCCATAGGATCATTTTTGAGGCCGAAAGGGAGGCGATTCCATTCAAAAACACCATCGGGTGTAATGAAACCCGGGATGTGTTTGCATCTGGATGGAGGGGTATTTGCCAAAAGCCACTGGCACAATCAAGGACACTAAAAGATTTGGCATGGCTGTCGCCTACTGCATCAACGACATCTTCAAAACGTGGTACTGGTAAAAATACAGGCTTCGTAACTGCATTGAGGCATCTATAATCTACGGCAAAGCGGCAGGAGAAATCACGTTTTATAACCATGACAATTGGAGAGTGCCATTCAGAAGAACTGGGCTAAATGACATTGGTTTCTAACCTTTCTTGCATTTGTCATTCTTTCCTGATGGCTGCGTTTTGCCCATAAAAAGGGAGTCTGATAGGTCTGGCGTCACCTGTTTCTATTTTGTGACGATGTAAGTGAGTGTGTCCTAATTCTGACCATTCAAGGCAAAAACTGATGTGTAAAATCTATGAGTGTCCGAGTGGTCAGTGAAATTCACGAAATTACAAACTATATCTGTTAGTGTTAGTGCGGTGTTAAACAACAAAC